TTTTAGGTCTATGGGGGGAACTCACGCTGCCTTGCTCTAGAAGTGGTCATGCTTGAAGCCTCCATGCCTGAATGAACACCATCAAAAGCACATTAGCCCTCTTTCCTCCCGCCCATTCCCTCCCCTCCACCTCATTGCCCCTCCTTCTCTCTCTACTTAACTCCCCCACCTCCTTTTCTACACCCTCCCCCTCTGCCGTCGTATAACAGTATCTGGCCAGGCCACGCAGCGCACTGACATGTAGTCGGGTAGTAGGAGAGAAATGATGAATTGCTCCCTGTTGGTGTTATCCATGATGATAATTATTAATTTTCTCCTCGCTCTTCCCTGAGAATGGGGGCCGTAGAGCTGCTGCATCTCTGATCCTCCTCTGTGGGCCGTCAGGAAACCTGCTGCCATCCTTTAACACAGAGAGAGAGTAGGCCCAAGGCTAAACACTGATGAAAATGAAATGCATTCATTCCGATTTGTCCTTTTTGCTGCGTTTGCCTTTCTACACTTCAAGATTTCCTTTCATTTCTTCTTTCTCACACTTTTCCTATCAACTACAAGTAACAATTCATACTGTCATGTGAGACATTTTAAACAGAACATTGATAACTGTTTTATTCAGTTTAAATATCCAGTGAATAGACTGTTTTATTTAGAATAGTTTTTGAGAAATGTGGAGCCAAATGCAGGTTAGAAGCCCAACTCTATACAAGTTACACTAAGCATATGACTGAAAAAAAGGGACTGTAATGTGTAGAAATAGTCTGATCGAACACGGATAAAATGTATTGACAAGAAATAAAGCCGATTGTTTCTCAAATTCACAGCAATGTACCCTTTACATGGCTTCTGTTTCTTAACCAACAAGCTGAAATGAAATTAATGCTCATTAAATGTACCAAAATTATCAGTTTAAGATGCTCTTGGTTGAATTTCAAACCTTAGCAACCTTTATCAGAAAGAACTTTTTTAATGATTTACTTATAGGGTTAAATAAATATGAATTAATCTGGTTCAAATTCCAATATCTTGTATACCATATAAGGCCTGTATTTGTTATCCAATTAAATAAAAATAAAAAGTCAATAGTACAGTCTTTAACGTAATATTTTTCATGGGATTTTGCCAAAAAGGCAATATATAAATGCTGCAGAGAATGTGGTCACCAAGTAGTTGGAGTGCCCACAGTCCATGAATGCAACATGGAACAGGACATCTGTCCAGGGCTGCTGCAAGCAGTCAATCATTATGTTTCCCCGCCCACTCTGGTCAGATTGGGGTCAAAATCTGAATGTGAAAAAATGTGATTTGAAAGTGTAAAAAAAAAAATCCTGATACTGAAACAGGAATTTGAAACTAAAAATAAAAAAATAAACTGAAATAAATGGATTTGAATCTGACAATAAAATCTAAAACTGTGATAAAGAAATTTAATAAAAAGAGGAAAAAGGCTAAATAAAATACTAAACAGAATTATTCATTTTTTAGATTCAATACTTATTATTTTATGTTTACTTTTTTAGTTTTTCATATTACTAGGTAAAAATTTGACATTCAATATCAACTTCTATAGTTTCTGTTTAAACTTTTATTTTTTTACTTTCAAATAAGATTAAAAGTTTGCAAACATTTTGACCCCTTTCTAACTCCATATGGAACCTTTAGATTGATTTCCCCCTTTAAATAAAGTTGTTTTTTTTTATCTGAAATGTTTCCTGCCAGGACCGTTATAGTTATTTAACTTTCTTGGAGATTAAACCTGTCAAACTACTGTTACCTCTTTGTTTTCTTGGTATGCACGTAATACTACTATCAGTTTTGAGATTAGAATCTTTCCACAATTTATTAGCTGTTGCAAGTCGATCATTTCATTGTCTACTTAAAATCGTCTCTAGTCAAGATTGAAATGGCTCTGATTGGTTAGATCTAGGACAATCCTTCAGTACAGTGTGTGAGTCATCAATGTATTTAATGGCTTTTCTGAACACTTTCACATCTCCTGTGTAATATCTCTGGCCGTTACATTTATTTCTTTTTTTATTCTCCTTTTCAAATGTGATTTTAATGAAGTGTTAAGTTGCCAAACTGCTTAGTCTGTTTTATATTTGCAAGTTTCACTCTACGGCTCAAATTATAATTGTCCATCCCGGCTGTCTGGTGAAAGTTACACAACGAAGAAGTGACAATCAATCTCTCTTACGAGGCCTTGTCATCAGCGAGGCACGTTGAGGATGATCTCTGTCTTTCTGACTGAGAGAGGTGAATCTGTTCAGCCTAATGAGTAATTAAAGCTAATTTCCTAATTACCTCTGCAACGAGCTTCTCTGTAGTGTTCATTAAAAACCATAATTGCATTGGGTTGACATGCTCTTTCATCCACTTTGGCTTCTTTTCTAGCAGTTTAGCTGTAAGCTAGCTTTGGCAGCCCTGCTTGTCTCAGTCAATATAGGTTGATTGAAGCGTTTGGTGTTTCGGGGGGGTATTGGACACAGCTTCTGGTGACACTGAGGTTGCACAACTTTTTCCTGTAATCCTAACATATCCATTATGCCTCCCAAGATAGTTTTTTTTAGAAGCTCTTTGTAGATTTTATGGAAGTTTCTTTCTTCATGTTCTGCAAAATGTTTAAACATCCAGGTTTTACATTAGATGTACATTATGTTACAGTTTTTTTATTCCCGAACCCGGTTTCTTTTCAGTTTTTTTTTTCTTTTTTTGCTTGTTTCTGTCCACTTCTCCCCCTATCTGTCTCATTGTCAGCTCTCTTCCTTCCTTCCATTGATCCAGTTCTTCTTTGTGTTGGAGAGCTGGCCTCCATGTTGTCAGCTGCGTCAGGATTAAAAGCTATTAGTTCTGCATCATTGCCACTACAAGTGTGCTCTTGAGATTGATAGAGTGGCTTTTCTCTATTAGGGGGGGCATATATGGGAGAAAAACAAGCCTGGGGGTGTTGTTTTTTTTCTACAAATCTGGCTATTGTTGTCACCTAAAGGCACTCTGGCCTTGGACTTAACCTCAATCAACTTTAGATGTATGAAATACCTTCAAGATGCTTTTAAACCTCTGCACCGGCTATAATTTGATTATATCAGTATATTTAGGTTTTTAGTCCTTACCTTGAATTGTCTAGTTTAAATGTAAATAAATCTGTAATTTATGGTACCTAATAGGATCAGAGCCCAGATAGATTACCAGGTTGGTTTAGACTTGTGTCTATCCCTGAATCTCACACTAATACGGTTTATCCTATCTAGATATACTTCACTGTGGCAAACATATCTACAGTGTTTGTTTTTCTTATAACAAATTTCTCGTTCTCTCTTGGGGTTTATTTTTATATTATTGCAACATTCTCACCAAAATTGCCACCTTTGCAAATTTTTTTTTTAACTGCAGCAAGCTGTGTTATTATTATTTTTCTATAATCAGCAGAAATGCCCTCAGTGTTGTTGGTGGCTGCCTCATAATTTATTTCTGTTGTCCAGTGACAAGTGCCAGATGAGGTGAAGGAAAGCTCATGGAACATGTTGCAGACTCAGCTTGAATAGTAAAAGAGGTAACAGAATGAACATTTTCAGAAAAGAGGTTTGATGAACCATGCCTACAGTATCTTTAATAGGTTGGGTCATTTAGTTGCCCGCAACACACACACCAGGTAACAATGATCATCTACTACACAGCCTTTCCCACTTATGAGCAGGAAATGTCATCTCATTATCCAATAGCATGACCCACATAAACATGTAAAATCTAAGAAAGGTGCAGTAACCTGGAAGGATAAGTTTGCATACCTGTGACTATTACTTTGTCAAAGCGCCTTCTGATTCAGTTATTGCTCTTGAATTCCTATATTTGATCAATTATTATTATATATACATATATGTGTGGGCTTCCTCCTGTTAGAATGAGAGTTAGAACCAGTTTCAGTTTGTTACCTTTAGAGTTAGGATATTTTTACAACGTTAGGACATTTAGGCTGGTCCTCATGAGCCGTTTTGTTAACTTTTCAGGCTAAGGTGTCAGTTTGGTTGGGGTTAGAGTCGGGGTAAAATATGCACTGGTAAAGGTTAGGGTTATTTTTAGGGTTAGGACATATAAAAGGTTGAAAATGACTGAAGATCAATGGGGGTCAACAGATGGTCCTCACTACTATTAGCAAGACAAGTGTGTGTGTATGTATTTTTAATTTTTAATCTTTTTTTTTTTTACTTTTTTTTTTTTTTTACTTCTTTTCCTACTGTTTACTGTTTGGGAAGTTGCGACATATTCAGAGAGAAGCCTTTTTAACTGCCTTTAATAGAAAATGTAAGAGCTTTGTTAACAGTTTTTTTCTCCTGTAGACAGACAGGAATTACCCACTGATGCAACTAACTCTTGACTATGTCCTGTTATGATGTTTATAAGGGAATTTCAAAAGGTCACGTTCTTGTAAATGCAACAGCGAATTAATACACGTTCTGTACGTTGTAAGCTACTGATTCATATTTAAATGTTAGTTTGCACAATTTTTTATCTTATTAAAACACAATTGCAAAGTTATGTGTGCAGTTTGCATAAGCTCATTGTTCATATGATTGCAAAGCTCACAATCCAGATGTTGGATTTTCTGCTGGAAAGGTTAAGATGACATAATCGTAGAAGAAACTGTAGGGTTTCACCACAATATTTCCTTATTCTGATATATTTTCATACTTTTTCCTTGCTAGATGGTCAAATATTTGCCATATAAAATGTGGTATATTGATAGACTCCTACAAAGAAGAAATAAAGGTTGCTTTTAATCAAAACTTTGTGTAGTAAGCACATTAAACATGTAAGTATTATTACATTTCCATCAAATCAACAATGCACAAAAAAAAAGATGTGTTCAATGAAAATTATTCCCTATTCCTTTTTGTGCTTTTTAATACCTGGCCTTTTAGCTCTGTATGTTTGCTGCTGTGTAGTCAAACAAATCCAGGGGTTTATTTTACAGCCTCAATTTACACAGCTCTCATATTTCATTGCAGGCAATCGTTGGCTACTTTGACATTTTCTTTGACAAAGGCTGCAGCAACAAGGTAAGCAGTAGCAGCAGAAGCTTCCAAGCCATTTAACAGAAACTCAATTATGTTCATGCTTTGGTGTGTTTCTCCTCCCTGAGGCGTTCAATGGCAATCGACAAGCGTCTTAGCCAACTGCTGATATAAGCACTTACCCAGCAGAGCCAGGCCAGTTGGAACAACTGATGCCAAGCTCTGTGAGCAACATGGATGTACTTTTTGATTGCATGTCTCATTGTACCTGGGAACTGAGGCCTGTGCAGTGGCTGAAGCAGTAAATTACAGTTTCCACTGGGGGCTGAATCTCGTACAATGTGAAAACCTTGTAATATCTTTTAACTTCAAAATATAGTGCTTTCAGGTTTCATTTATTGCACAGTCCAAGCAGCAAGTGATTTTAAAACATATTACTGTAAAAACGATTGACCAACATTATTATGCTTAGTTTTATGACATATTAGTGATAGGCTCTTTATTTGTGTTTTTGGGATCAATGTATGTCTTAGCATATGTATTTTTACATCCAAGAGCTTAATGCTGCTCATGGTGGTTTTCTTAATTTGGTTTTGTTGTTTTCTTGCTAGGTGATATTTTCCACAGGTCCTCAGGTTCCAAAGACTCACTGGAAGCAGACGGTCTTCCTTCTAGAGAAGCCTATGGCTGTTAAAGCAGGTCAGTAAGCACATGTTATAAAGAAATGTTACACAGTCAACAACTGCTCTTTAATTCAGTTCTCAGTCCCAAATAAAAAAAATTGTAAAACAAAAATAGCCTAGTTACAAAACCATTGATAAATGTGATATGATTTCAGGAAATGTTTGCTACAAGATGAAGTTTGCCTAAACTGGTCCATCGCAATTATATGGGTCCTAATTGGATCTCTATTAACACTGAGCTCTAGTTTGTGGAAAAGACTTCTTTAGGTTTCATTTTAGGTGATTTTTGTGCCAAAATAGCAACTTTTTTTTTCACTCTTTAAAACCAGGTATAGAGGAAAAGCTTTATTTCCGGGTGGATCATCTAAATAAGTGGTCCTCCTAATTGTCAATCATTCTAGCGATATCTTTACATAAGGCCGTCCCACGTGTTCATCCCCTTAGCTATCTTTTTCTGCGCATGCCCAGGCGTATATCTGTGATTAGCTACGGTTTCAGACAGTCATTGTAGCTCTCCGTTCTCTCTACGGTTCTTTGAAAATGGCCGACGATTGAAAGAGAAAACAAGTCTCCGAAGTGTCTGAGAAGAAAAGAAAGGCCACAGAAGAGGCAGATATATCCCCAAATGATTTGCACTGTGAGCTCTCCTCGCAAAGCATTGTGGGATTTTTGTCACAGCGGCCAGCTGTCTCAATAGGCTGTCGCTACCTCACAGTGGTGACTAATAACAAAGATAGCGCTGGCACCGTGCGGTGGATGATCTGTCCGAACAGTCATTTAACTAAGTTCACTATAAAGTCAACTATATGGTCCCCGCTCTATATAGTGTCTGAGGGATTTAGGAGTTAGGGCGGAAGTTCGAACACAGTAAGCTTGTATTAGCTATGAGAACGGCAAAATTTAAACAGAGCGTGCACGAGGAGGTATGGGCCGTAATGCTAAACTCATATTAATCCTCCTTGTAGAATGTAGCCCAATTTTATCAAGTCCTTCTTGGTAAATGTTTCTACTCAGCTTTTTCTTTTGTTTATATGATGTCTACCAGTGCCGTATGCCACAAACCAGCCCAGCACCATTATGTTCCAACCTCAAAACCTTCCTTTTTTATATTATGTTTGTGGCACAATATACAGTCCCTTTAAGCTCCAAATATGGTTGGTATAATAGCCCCCTAAGAGTCCATTTTCAGTATCACTATTGACATCACCATTGACTCCCTTGTGTGAAATTTTGTAAAGAACACCTTCTCTTGGCCTTTTTTTTGGGAACTTTTGTTGTTTTTCCAACGCTAGTGTTTAACCTCAAATTACTCGTTACTGTCTTCAGTTATTAAGAAAATCTTCTTTAACAAATCTTTTCAACAGTATATTTTGCTCATTTACTCTTTAGCCCATTACTTCTTCTCAACATCAGATGTTTCTGGTTTGACATCTTGGTAATAAAGTATGTTACTTAAGGCCATCAGTTGAGACTGAACCAGCAGACATTAATTTACTCTAAGTGGTTCTATGGCTTTTATAATAACTCATAGATTTCAGATTGGGTCATGATGTTCCATACATCTTTACACCTGCGTATCTCTATCATTCCACCTTTTTTCAAAGAATTTATGGTTGTCTATCATTTATTTCTCTGCATACAGTAACTGCATTTGTTGTTACCAACATCCGGCAAGACTTTCATGGTCACGACACAATGACTTATAAATATACAACTTGTGATGGGTTCATTTATTTTAACTGACTTACTTTTGTCTGTTGTATATCATGCTGCGCTCACAATTATTTATTTGTCTTTCTCTTGCTTTGAGGTCTCATCATTGCAAGTTGTAGCAGATAATCTTTCTGTGGCAGATATTTAGTCAGGTTGGTTGACACGCGGAATCTGTCACCCACAGCGATAGGGAAGAATCACAATAAATCATACATGAGAGACAGCATGTAAAACTTCATCTGATATCGGTCATGTCCATTGATATACGATGAAATCATTGCATGCACATTTGAAATGGAGATAAAAGATGTAACACGAAGTAAGGATCGTCTGTGCTTTTATCACAGTTTGAAGAGAAAACAATCAGAATGGATCAATTCTGCAGAAACTATTCAAATAAGTTAGAAAATATCTTATTGACCCCAAAGGGAAATTATATGTTTTCTAAAGTCAAATGTTTTTTCTAAATAAGTTGTGTTTGTCAATAGCTGTGGGCAGAAAGGATCGTTTGCATTTTGTCTTGCATGGAATCTGGAGATGTCTTTGACTGAAGACACAGTTGTTGTTCAACGGTCATCTGAAGAGGATATTGACAATTTAATCAATTGATATATAGAATAACTATAAATTAACCGCACAATATTTTAGGATTTAGATTTAAATTATATCTAAATATAAGCATTACAAATACAGTGCAAAGGACAGCTCTCTTTTAAAGACTTGGTTTATTTTAGCTTTTTTAGTCGTACTTGGAATGTTTTAGCTCATCTGCCATCATACCACAATTTTCTGTATAAATGAAAGCCAGTGAAAAACAAATACAGTCTTCAAATGATAATTTCAGTTGTTAAAAGAATAACATATATGTATTTAAAAAGAAATCCCATTTCTAAAATTGTATAAGACACAATTGTTTTAGATCTTTTTAATTTTTTTCTTAACTTTCCCATAGATACTTAGGCTTAATTTCAACCCCAGAGTATTAAGAAAATCCTTAAAATAAATCATGCAGTTAATGCATCAGGTCTTGATCTAAGGAAATGTTTAAAAACCTGAGAAATCAAGTCAATGATATCAATCATTTTGCCAAGTTTTGCAAAGCTATTTTTAAGAGTGGAATTCTAGTGAACGCTGGTAAGAGGCATTTCTCAAAAAGGCAACACTTTTCTAAAAGTAAGCAACCTTCTCAAAAGTATCTGGCCTACCAAAATTACTTACAAAAACCTACATCACTGATAAATATGTAGTCTTTTAAGGCTATGATGTTATTATACTGATTGTTAATATGACATGACCTTTCCTGCACATAAAATTACATGCCCCCTCACCAACAATACAGTTAAGCTTTAGCTTTTAGAGTTAACAAATAGGAATTAAAAACCTGAGAAAAAATAAACAACAAAAAGACCAGTAACCCAGCACTGAAGATTATTAGTAGATCTCTGCACTCTGCACTCCATACTACCTTATTGCCTAGTGAAGAATTAGTCCAATATCTCTTAATCTGTTACTCCAAATAGATCCTCATTAGGAAGCTTCCATTTCAACTCAGTTCAGCTAAATCATTAAACCAAAAGGAGAAGCTCCAACATCTATAAACAAAGGCGTTGAAGGGAGCAGCACAGCTGATATTTTCTCTCAAGGATGGAGCCACAGCCAAACAGGAACAGATCAGATGAAGCTTCTAAGATGAGAAAAAGCAGAGAGAGTATAAATTAGAGATTGAATGGGATGGGATGATTAAATGGGGTCCCTGTGTCCTCCAGCAGTCTAAGCCTATAGCAGCACAACTGCAGAAAATAGCTCAGGATAACCTAAGTATATTGTATAAGGTATAAGAAAGGTAGAGCCACAATGTGGCCAAGGAGAATTAAACGTCTTTCCAGAATGAAATTCTCCCCCGCTTAATCGGGCTATTAACCTCTACCTTTACCTACCCCTCTACTTACCCAGCGACTAAGCACACATCACTAGTTTTTAACTAGAAGCTTTAATCAATAAGGAAAGTTTTAAGCCTTGCCTTAAACGTAAACTGGGTGTCTGCCTCAGGGGCTAAAACTGTTGTTGGTTCCAGAGGGAAGGAGTCGATAACTAAAAGATCTGCCTCCCATTCTACTTTTAGAAATTCTAGGAACCTCTAGTAAACCTGCAGATTGAGAACGAAGTGCTCTGTTAGGGACATAAGGAACAATCAGATGTTTAATATAAGGAGGAGATTGGCCATTTAAGGCTTTAAAGAGACAATTCAGTCATATCATACAGTCAGACTGGTTCAAAGATTTCTATTTAAGGAAAACCACTTGATTGCATCAACTCATCGACTCGAAGGCAATTCCTCACATCAAGCATGCCTGTAGCAACAGTGGAGACGAAAACACCCTCTTAACAGGAAGAAACCTCCAGCAGAACCAGGCTCAGTGTGAGCGGCTATCTGCCGAAGCCGACTGGGGCTCAAGGAGACAGAACTCCAGTCCACTATTTCAATATTCTTTTTCCTCTAATTCATGGTCAGACTCATGTGATTCTCAGTCATTGATATCATTTTGGGGCACACAATCCAGCACACATCTGGAAGCATTGAATCAGTAGCTAACGATGTTAGAACTATATGACTTGGTTATGATCTTGCCCCTTGCATTTGTACTGTGTAGAGATTGCTGTGTCAGTGAAAAACCCTCTAGGTGCGATTCTTCATGGATGCAGTAATTCTATTTGATGAATGCAGATTAAGAGATAAACGTTGCAATGAGATATTTGTGGTAAGGTTTGCTTTATCTAAGTTAAAGGGGGGCTTTGACATCTTTTGGTGAATAGTCTATTAACCCTGCTTTGTTTTCTGCTTGCATACGATGAGGTTCTGATATGGCCCAAATTATTTTCCAGAAGGCTCAGGACATTGGGTGTTTACTATAAACTGCCGCCCTCATGTACTTTTAAATTCTGCCTTTGCAGTTCTCAAAATTAGGTCCTAATTGACATGAAGAAAATCACATTTTAATGTATTAACAGTAGTGTGAGAAATGTTCTTGTCCATATCTTGATGCATTGAAAAATATGTTTAATCCCCTCCCTCAAATGTTATTAAAAGTTTAATTGATACAGCCCCGACAAGCCTTTTCAAAGATTGATGGTGGCAAAGTGCCGAATATTAAAACTTTCTACCTAGGACGTCAAAAGAAGGTCATTTGAACACTTTTAATACCAGGATAATTAAAAGTTCTTTACATCGAAAAAGCATAAAAAATACATGGCAGTTGTACAATGTAGACTGGTAAAGAAAAGTTGGAGTCCACACTAAAATTG